TATAGGGAGATGTTATCTTGGCAAACAAGTAGCTCCAACCTCACATTTGCTGCGATGACAAGGAATTCATGTGGGGAAGACATCTAGGAGGAGGAGGTGCTTAATCTCCCTTGTACCTAGAGATGGGGGATAAATCCAGTTCAAATGTGAAATTCGGTTCACATTTAAAGGTGGAGCAACCGAAACAGCAGTTTCTGAAACAATAAGGTGCACCAAAACAGAGTCATCCTTCTGAAACTGCACTTTTCCTAATTTTATAGTGCCAAGTGTGCATAGAATGCATTATGTTAGAGAGAATGGTTTTTGCAAAAATGTATATATTGGGCAAAATGTATATGTGTATACAGCAGTAGGAGAAATTTGCACCAAAATGCCAATAAATTTCCATGAGGACTAAATGTTTTTCCAAAGTGATGTGGAAATGTGGGAAACTGGAAAAAAGGAGATGCAGAGAGAAACCAAAATGACAGGATTCTCTATGCACAAAAATGGAAGGAAGTAGAAGTTCCCACCAAAGACAAATGGATAGGTAAGGTGATGGACTATCCAAAAATGGCAGTCAACAGCCAAAATAAGAGAATCTAACGATGGCTGTTTTGTGGAAGAATGGGAACCCCTTTCAGACTATCTAAATAATTATCGTTTGATGAACTCGGAGCAGGATTTGAAATATGAGCAACATCAGGAATTAGGGAATACAGTTGCTGTGTTGGTATAAGAAATAGAAGGTATTGTGCAGCAGATGGGGGAGAATTAAAATGCCATGGAAAATGGGGCCGGAAGTTGAGAAAATATAAATTTATTATGTATTGAAGTATATATGTTAAACTTTTGAAAATTAAATTAAAAATTATTACAAAAAAGAGAAACAAAAAATGGACAGATATGCCCATCTCTGCTTGTACCTACCAGTTCTCTTCTGCTAGGCTCCTTTCTGTTTGGGGGACATTGCTAGGGGAGGGGATCTTCTTAAATATCATCTAGTGAAAAATTGCAGGAGAAAACTGACCTGCCACGAGACTGCAAGTGCCCTAGATAACTTCCAAATTAATGCCACAAAGGAAAGATGGGTTTGCGAATCCCATGTTTTCCTTGCAACATTTCCTTGTGATATAATGGTTAACCTTAATAATAGCCTATTAATTACACAGGTAGAACACCCATGCCTGAGGGCTTCTAAGGTTGATTGCTGTGATGCTTCACTTTGAACCATGACTCTTACAAATGAGTCAGTCACCTAGTCTTTGTATTCTTTTAGCAAGTGGGCAAGCGGGGGGAAATGATGTGTAATTTCGATCTCTGATGGAACTAGCTGACCCTGAAAGGGGTTTTTAGAATTTACGTTTAATCTCATCCTTGGCCCCCTACTTTTTTGCAAGGAAGAAGCAAATTTGGGGATGTGGTTGGTATAGGAGGGTTGCTCAATTTATTGTCACATTTTTGGATTGAAACCTATGCCTTGAAGGACACAATATTAAAACTTACGTTTCCTCTTTCATATGTGGTGGACTTGTAAAAGGGTAAAAAAGTATTGGGAAATGATCCATAATGAATTGAAAAAAGTGTTTAAAAGTACTCCCCCCCCAAAAAAACCCCCCAGAGTCCTTTCTGTTGGGGATAATTCAGACTGAAATTCCCAGGTGTCAAAAAAAGGTTATTTATGTATGCTACCACTGCGGTTTGTGTTTTGTTAGCCCAAAAATGGAAAACGAGCGAGGTCCCAACTAAAGAAGAATGGCAACTTATGTTGACAGAATATGCACAACTCGCAGACTTAACATATAGAATACGAGAACAAGAAGAACATACATTTAAAGAATATTGGAAAACGTTTATTGAATACGTATACAGTATGGGAAAGAACTGTATACAGCTGAAAACACTGCCAGCATTAAGACAAATTCAACAGTGTAAACACTTTTTGATGGATGTACAGTAATAATGGAATACTGAATGGTATAGTTTTATATGCAGGGATTTATGATATGTAAAATGAACCATGGAAAGAGAAGAAGGGAAGTAATTGATATCTTATGGATGTAAAATGAGTATTTTAAATTGTAAAACAGAAAATAAAAATTATATATAATAGGGAGTTAAGCAAAACAAACAAAACAAAATTTATGTTTCCTGATAATCCCCCTGAAGTTGGAACAGGGATTGGAGCACCATAATGTCATTCTATGGGACCCAAAGCTCATGCCGCCTCTTCCCAGTTCATACTAGATTCCATCCCTCTGCCCAGGCTGATCTTATAATGAAGAGGGTGCTTTGCGAAATGGAATAGGGCACTTCTTTGTAAATGTGTTTAGGTTCAGGCTGTTTAGGATTAGAGTGTACCATTCTGTTGTTCGTAGGATATTCCAAGTGAAGGTTTTCCTTGATTACAGAAAAATGCTCAGTTTGAGGCCACCACTTTTGGCTTCATTAGGCAAATTATATTTAGTCATCGGTTCCTAGCAAATGCAAATCAAAATAAAGTAGGTGTGGAAAAGGCCTATATATAGATATATTCTCCAGTGAGCAACAACCAACTCTCTGTCAAGCAGCTCTTAAATGCACCCTGGAAGACCAGGTAAAGAAATGTATTATTTTTCAAAGCTGAACTCATCCTTGCTTTTGTTGATGGAAATTTGTATAATTTAGTTTCCGTTGTAGGCTTGTTAGTAGATCTGCCAGTTTAGCCAATTTAAGCAACCTTTGTGGAGTTAGAGTGATTTTACTTACCGGACAGTTTTGTTTATACATTTGCACCCCACCTTTCCATAACAAAACCCCCTCAAAGCAACTTATTCAACTGAAAAGATCTCAGATACTAACACTAACAATAATACAAATCAAGAATTGGCAAGAAACTAAACGCGCACACACAGAGCACAGACATACAGATGCGATGATCTCAGCCAAAAAGTCCCTAGAGGTAAAGGTAAAGAGACCCCTGACCATTAGGTCCAGTCGTGACCGACTCTGGGGTTGCGGCGCTCATCTCGCTTTATTGGCTGAGGGAGCCGGCGTACAGCTTCCGGGTCATGTGGCCAGCATGACTAAACCACTTCTGGCGAACCAGAGCAGCGCACGGAAACGCCGTTTACCTTCCCGCCGGAGTGGTACCTATTTATCTATTTACACTTTGATGTGCTTTCGAACTGCTACATGGGCAGGAGCTGGGACCGAGCAACGGGAGCTCACCCCGTCTCAGGGATTTGAACCGCTGACCTTCTGATCAGCAAGTCCTAGGCTCTGTGGTTTAACCCACAGCGCCACCCACGTCCCTACAAAAGTCCCCAGTTGTCATTAAAAATTTGAGAGAAGCTAATTGAGTTAATCACAGAATCACATAGTTGGAAGGGACCCCATGGAGAATTTAGTCCAGCCCTCTCCAATGCAGGAATCTCAGCTAAAGCATCCATGACAGATGGCCATCCAACCTCTGCTTAAAAACCTCCAAGGAAGGGGAGTCCACAACCCCCTGAGGGAGACTGTTCCACTATTGAACAGCTCTTATTGTCAGAAAGTTTTTCCGTATGTTTATTCAGAATCTCCTTTCTTGTAACTTGAAGCCATTAGTTTGAGTCCTACCCTCCAGAGCAGGAGAAAACAAGCTTGTTCCCTCTTCCATGTGACAGCTCTTGAGATATTTGAAGATGGCTATCATATCTAGTGCCTAAATTAATCTAGCATCTAAACATCTCATCAGTAACAATGATGGTACCAGGCATAACATGTTGGAGCTAGCCTAAGTTGATCACACTTTAGAACCCACTGAAATCAACGGAACAAGTTAGATATGACATAGAATGCAGCCCTAACCATGTATACTCAAAAGTCAGTCGTATTGAATTTAATGGGATTTACTCCCTGGTAAGTGGGGTTAGGATTGCAGTCTCCGTTTGGATGTAACCCAATATGTCTAAGAAGGGAATTTAACAATCAGGGCTCCAAAGACCTTCTCTCTAATCACTTATCTTCCAAAGGTGGAGGTGCCCAGGGCTTTGGTTTGCAGACAGAGGTGGCATGAAACAGGGGTGGGGAGAGGCAGACATTGCTAAAAGTGGCGATTGAGCAGAAGAATATAAGCAAGTTCCCCTGTATGGCTGAAAGGGGGAGTTCTTCCACTTGCTGCCTATAGGTGATGCTATGATGCTAAACAGTCTCATGTGAAATCCTCCCTTGAAAGCTAATGCACTGCAGAGAGTTGTGCTCACACCTAGATTCAAATCCACACCTTGGCTATATGTTACATTAAAATATGTTTAAAAGCTTATAACTTGCCATGTTTTTTTATATAAAGAGCAGCTACGAGTCGCCTTAGACAAGAGAAGAGTTTTCTGGGTAAGGCTAGTGCAGGGGTCAGCAAAGTTTTTCAGCAGGGGTCCGGTCCACTGTCCTTCAGACCTTGTGGTGGGCTGGACTATATTTTTTGGGGGGAAATGAACGAATTCCTATGCCCCACAAATAACCCAGAGATGCATTTTAAATAAAAGGACACATTCTACTCATGTAAAAACACGCTGACTCCTGGAGCGTCTGCGGGCTGGATTTAATAATAATAATAATAATAATAATAATAATAATAATAATAAATAAATTGTTATTTATACCCCACCCTTCCCGGTTTAAAAACCGGGCTCAGGGCGGCTAACAGCAAATATAAAACATTGATAAAAATGTGACTTAAAAAACAGCATAAAACAGCATAGAATACAACATAAAATGCAGAATCAATATCAATAAAATTCAAAAATTCAGGGGTCATTTTTGGGAAAAAACCCCAGTCAATAGACATCGAATGATCACCAGGGCTAACTGGCCAAGTTGGTCCTACAAGGGCCAGCAAGGAGACCAGGGAAGAATTTAAATGTGGGGTTGCAGAAAGGGTTTCTTCATAGAAGAGGAAAGGGAAAAGGGAATAGAGGATCAGGCTAATTGAAGGCCAGGTGGAATAGCTCTGTCTTACAGGCCTTGTGGAAGGAGATCAAGTTCTGCAGGGCCCTAGTCTCATGGGACAGAGCATTCCACAAGGTCAGAGCCTGGCGATTGAGCCGGATCCGGTCCCCGAGCCTTAGTTTGCCTACCCATGGGCTAGTAGCCTATCTAGTCCAGCATGCTGTTCTCACTGTGGCCAACCAGTTGCCTGATAATTTCTGAAAATTGCAGTGCTCTGTCTTTGCTTTTAGATTTTGTAATGGCCTCTCCTCACACAGAAGCAAATGCAAAAGCTGCCCTTGACTTTTTCCTGAAGTTGAGCAAGGATGAACACTGTGAAAGCATCATGTTCTCCCCTGTAAATTTGGCAGTCGCCTTGAAAGTCCTCCTTTCTGGGGCCAGGGGCCACACAGCTGCTGAACTGCAAAAGGTAGGCATGATATAATACATCATCCCAGTCTTTTGAAGCCAAATTCAAAGGGCAAACTTTAATTTCAATTCAAAGGCACTGATGTTTGCAAAGCTGAGAAATGGTGGGCATTGGCTGCAGATAGAAGCCTTTAGTGGAAATAAAGCACCGTTCTTTCCGCTTCTAGCTCTGATCCAGAGAAACTTTAAACACATGAATGTCATATCCATTAGGGAAGGGCCATAGATCAGTGGTAGGACATCTGCTTTGCATGCGGAAGGTTGCAGGTTCAATCTCTGACACCTCAAGGTAGGTCTGGGAGTGACTTCCGTCTGGAATTCTGGAGAGCTGCTGCTAACCAGGCTAGACAATATTATTGTCAGTAATTCATTTTATTTCTAGACTGCATTATATTTCTAAGAAATAATCTCAAAAAGGTTGGCAACACATTAAATAAGACAAACCAGAATAAGGCATAATAGAACAAGGCATAACAGAAGACGGTCAAATATAAAGAACACATTCAAAGTAACACAATTAACAGGAATATAAAATTTCGTCTTAAAGATAATATTTGAGCCTCTTCTTGGACTCCAACTCCCAGCAGCCCCAGCCAACATGACCAATGATCAGGAATAATGGGAGCTGTAGTCCAACAACATCTGGAGGACACCAAGGTGGGAAGAGTTGGCATAGCCTAAGTGCCCATCCTGCTTCCTAAGGCATATCTGCACTTCATGTTTATGGCAAGGCAAGGTCACTTTGGGATGTGCATCATGCTCCCAGTATGTGGCACCCATTCAACTCATTCTCATTTGAATTGGAAAATGTGGGAACCAGTTTCAGCACAACTCCAAAATCTGCATGAGTTATGCCTAAGAGGAAGAGGTATGTTTCCTGTCCTTGGTTTCCTCTTCAGTCTGTTCTTAGATTTGTTCAATTGGGCAGAGAAGACAAAAGTAGATTTAGATTGCAGATTTAGAAAGCGTAGATTGCAAATTTAGAAAAAGAAAGCAAAATTTATATTTATATACAGTGATACCTCGGGTTAAGTACTTAATTCACTCCGGATGTCCATTCCTAACCTGAAACTGTTCTTAACCTGAAGCAGCACTTTAGCTAATGGGGCCTCCTGCTGCTGCCGCGCCGCCGGAGCACGATTTCTGTTCTCCTCCTGAAGCAAAGTTCTTAACCTGAGGTAATATTTCTGGGTTAGCGGAGTCTGTAACCTGAAGCGTATGTAACCTGAAGCATATGTAACCCGAGGTACATCTAAACCATGTAAAAGGGGAAGCCATCTTAATGTGCATGGGTTGCTGAGCACCGTTGCACAATGAAATGTACCATCTACTACAATATTATTTATGACTGCAAACCAAAATTCCTCATTAGATACTTCATTTGGAAAAAGAGGAAGAATGTGGAAGAGGATGTCCTTGAAAGTGCCAAAAGCTGTGGGACAGTGGACAGTAGGCAGAAAACACAGGGCCCAGCTCCACACCCTTGTGGCTTGGCAGCACCTTCTCCTGAACTTGAATCTGCACCTCGCCCTCATAGGGTATGCTTCTGTTCCGAACACAAACGGTGCTTGAGAAATGAGGGGGGAATCCATTCTGTTGTTTGAGGGTTTCTGCTTAAGTTAACCTATAACCAGAGCTTTTTTTCCATCCAAAGCTCAGAGGAGCTCAACTCTGGCACCTCTCAGGTGGGTACCATTGCCATTCTAGGAGAACAAGGGAGAAGTTCATGGTGAGCTCTGGCACCTCTTTTTTTAGAAAAAAGCACTGCCTGGAACAACACCACACCAACTGGACAAGGGCTGAGGGATGGATGTGTTAAACAGATGAGCGTGCATCCAGAAAGCAGTCAGGGTTTTATTGTTGAAGACTTTGCAGAAGCACATTGCTAATGTGGAATTAAATGAAATTGAGCAGAAAACGAAGACACTGGAATGGGCCATAAATCTTGCTACCTGGCACAACTGTCCTTCTAAGCTGGGCATCATTATTTATTCGTTATGGCTTATATGAGGAAAATGGTCTTTCCTCCATTTTATCCTCACCCCAACACTGTGAGGCAGGTTAGGTGGAGAGACAGCGACAGGCCGAAGGCCACCCAGTGAGCTCTGTGGTGGAGTGGGGATTTTAACCTGTTTCTCCCTGGTTCAGATACTCTTAGGGGATAATATTTTGGACATTTTTTTAAAGCACCAGAATAAGACGTGTTTCACCGTTTCTTGCTGTGTTTTTAGGATGCTTCTGATTATGAATGTGAGATGCCCGAAGGCAGCCATAAGGAGTTCCACAAAATCCTTGCTCAGCTTGACAAACCGAGCAGAAACTACGAGCTGAGCTTTGCCAATCAACTCTACGGAGACAAGTCTATTGCTTTTGTCCAGGTAGGTTTCTCTTTGAGACCTTGTTGTTTCTTGCTTGGTGGTATATGGTGCACAGAGAAAGCTCTGCTGGATCAGACCAAAGGCCCATCTAGAACCATAGAATTGTAGAGTTGGAAGAGACTCATCTAGTCCAACTCCCTGCAATGCAGCTGTCCCATACAGGGATCGAACCTGCAACCTTGGCGTTATCAGCGCCACGCTCTAACCAACTGAGCTCTCCTATGTCTCTAGTCCAGCATCTTGTTCTCACAGTGGCCAAATGTATGCATATGGGAACTCCATAAGAAGGACCAGAGTGCAACAGCATTTTCTTCACTTGTGGTTCCCAGTGACTGGCATTGAGAAGCATGCTGCCACCAACGGTGGAGATAAGACATGACCTTCCTACCGCCTTATCCTCCATGAATTTGTCAAATTATTTTTTTAAGCCATTCAAGGCGGTGGCACGATAAGCTCTGACGGCCCTACCCAACCCAGATACCTTCTCACAATTCCCCAAATTTTATAACATTTTCCAAACTTCCGTTGACCAAGACACTCTTTGGGAATGCTAAGGTGCAAGACAGACTTTCACAATTATCTGTCTTTTTGATAGAGCATTGATAAAATTAAAACTATATACATATATAAGAATCTGTTTAAAATATACAAATACAGTGGTACCTCGGGTTAAGTACTTAATTCGTTCCGGAGGTCCATACTTAACCTGAAACTGTTCTTAACCTGAAGCACCACTAATGGGGCCTCCTGCTGCTGCTGCTGCTGCGCCGCCGGAGCCCGATTTCTGTTCTTATCCTGAAACAAAGTTCTTAACCTGAAGCACTATTTCTAGGTTAGCGGAGTGTGTAACCTGAAGCGTATGTAACCTGAAGCATATGTAACCCAAGGTACCACTGTAATTACAATGAAAACAGCACAACACCAGCCCTTTCCCAAAAGCCTGTTGGAACAAGAAAGTTGTCACCAGCCTGAAGAAGGATAGCAATGAGGGAGCTAGTCTAGCTTCTCCAGGGAGGGAGTTACAGAGTCTGGGAGCAGCCACTGAGAAGGCCTTCTCCTATGTCCTCACCAAGCGTGCCTTGGAAGGTGGCAGAACCGAGAGAAGGTCCTCCCCTGAAGATCTAAGCCTGGGCCAGTTTGCATGAGGTAATACTGTCTTTCTAAGCCAGGCACCCCCAAACTCAGCTCTCCAGATGTTTTGGGACTACAATTCCCACCATACCTGACCACTGGTCCTGTTGACTAGGGATGATGGGAGTTGTAGTCCCAAAAGATGTGGCTACAGCTGTTCCCATACCAGCATGAAAAGCACCATTAGTGGAAGAATTCAGCTATTCCAATTAAATAGAGCTATCTTGATTAATACCCATTGTCAAATGGTATCATGATAGGCCTCTGCTGAGAGGGAAATGTCGGAGCCTCACATTCTTATTCTTATTCTTGTTATTATTTCTTACTTGTCGTTCACCTTGAGATTCCATGGCAGGTTACAAATACAAAAATACAAAGCAGCTTAAACAGATTACAATCGAGAGAGAAAGGTGAGTCCTAAAATATGTTTCTGAAGGTAAGGAGGTGTGTCTTCAGCATAGGACAAAAACATATAAGGAAGGTGCCAGATGCATCTCAGTGGAAAGGGAATGTCACAAATTTAACTTATATATGTCACAATTCCCTGCAGTTATTCAGCTTAATCACCCTGTAAACCCTTTCTAGTCTAGGCCGACCTAGGTAAAGGTATAGGGACCCCTGACCATTAGGTCCAGTCGTGGCTGACTCTGGGGTTGCGGCACTCATCTCGCTTTATTGGCCAAGAGAGCCGGCATACAGCTTCCAGGTCATGTGGCCAGCATGACTAAGCCGCTTCTGACGAACCAGAGCAGCGCACGGAAACGCCGTTTACCTTCCCGCCGGAGCGGTACCTATTTATCTACTTGCACTGGTGTGCTTTCGAACTGCTAGGTTGGCAGGAGAGGGACCGAGCAACGGGAGCTCACCCCGACGCGGGGATTCGAACTGCTGACCTTCTGATCGGCAAGTCCTAGGCTCTGTGGTTTGACCCACAGCACCGACCTACTTGTTGGTAAACATGCATATAGAATTGCTCTGTTGACGTTGTCTTTGAGACTTTGGTCTGCTTGAGTTCTACATGTACCTGCCTTTTTACCATATATGTTATGATGTAATTTCCTGGTTGTTGGTGTTTTTATGTCTTTATGCTTATACCTAACTCTAACCCTAAGCTTAACTCTAACCCATTGGGGAAGAATCTGCAATCTCCATCTTGAAACTCAGTCTATAAGCAAACCTCCTGGCTATGTCAAGTCAGCTTTTCTATTTGTTTTTGACTTTGATATATTCCTTCAAAAGCCTCTTCCCTCCTGTACAGCAATTCCTGTTCTGTGCATTGAAGCAGTATCTGACGGAGGTAGACAGTGTTGACTTTCACAAGGCTCCAGAAGAGGCCAGAAAGCTGATAAACCTATGGGTTGAAGTCCGGACACATGGTATGAGCAAGTCATCTGTCTGTCACTTGAACCTTTTATTTTATTTTATTTTTAAATTGTTTGTGTGCACACCATACAAGAAAAACACCTGCCAAAGAACTCTGGAAACTGTAATTTGTTAAGGGTGTTGGGAATCAAAGTTTCCAGGAGACTTTGGAAGGAAATATGCTTTGAATGTGAGGTGTGCATGCAGTCATAGTGTCCTAGGAATTGAAACTTTCTCCCACAAATTGTGGTTCCCTCCAGATGCTGTTGGACCAAAACATCCATCAGCCTTAATCAACATGGCCAGTGATCAGGGATGATGGGAGTTGTAGTCCGACAACATCTAGAGACCACCAGGTTGGAGGAGGCTGCTCTTAGCACTGCACCACATTGGAAGTGTGGAAAGAGAAAATCCGAGTAACTTATTTGCTTTGTGAGGCCCTATCTGTGCAGTATCATAACAGAGTCCCTTGGGCAGAGGGGTTGACTGCTAAGCCACTCTGGGAATTGTAGCTCTGTGAGGGTAATAGCATACCCCCTCAACCGTCCCAATTTTCCCAGGACATCCCGGAATCACAGAAGCCACCCTGGCTTCTGATTGGATGCCACAATGCCCTGTTTTAGCACCGCGCTCTTGTGAGACAATATAACACCGGTCTTGAAAGACCTACACTGGCTCCCAGTACATTTCAAAGCACAATTCAAAGTTTTGGTGCTGACCTTTAAAGCCCTAAACGGCCTTTGTCTAGTATACCTGAAGGAGCGTCTCCACCCCCATCGTCCGGCCCAGACACTGAGGTCCAGCTCCGAGGGCCTTCTGGTGGTTTCCACACTGTGAGAAGTGAGGAAGCCCGCCCTGTGGAATGCCCTCCCATCAGATGTCAAGGAAATAAACAACTACCTGACTTTTAGAAGACACCTGAAGGCAGCCCTGTTTAGGGAAGTTTTTAATGTTTGATGTTTTATCATGTTTTTGATAGTCTGTTGGGAGCTGCCCAGAGTAGCTGGGGAAACTCAGCCAGATGGGCATTGTATAAATAATGAATAATAAACTATTATTATTATTATTATTATTATTATTATTATTATTAATCTTGCACAGGAGCATGGCATCAAAGGAAGTGCACCCCAATTTTAATCAGCAGAATGTTAGTGTGTAACAAGGGCCTCTTAACAAACTAGCACAGGTTCGCTGTGAGAGCCAGTGTGGTGTAGTGGTTAAGAGCAGTAGACTCGTAATCTGGGGAACTGGGTTCGCATCTCTGCTCCTCCACATGCAGCTGCTGGGTGACCTTGGGCTAGTCACACTTCTTTGAAGTCTCTCAGCCCCACTCGCCTCACAGAGTGTTTGTTGTGGGGGAGGAAGGGAAAGGAGAATGTTAGCTGCTTTGAGACTCGTTCGGGTAGTGATAAAGCGGGATATCAAATCCAAACTCCTCCTCCTCCTCCGCTGTGGGGAACCATGGCTGTTTAAAGTGCTATGGTACTGCATTAAACAGTGCAGATGAGGCCTTACTACTGTAGTGCAGAGTGGAGCCCTGAGACACAAAGCTTATGGCAGGCATAGGCAAACTCCGGCCCTCCAGATGTTTGGGACTACAATTCCCATCATCCCTGACCACTGGTCCTGTTAGCTAGGGATGATGGGAACTGTAGTCCCAAACATCTGGAGGGCTGGAGTTTGCCTTTGCCTGGCTTATTGTATGCTCAATGGATAGATTGCAGGCAAAAGTTAATATGGTAAAGCAAAGCAAACCGTTTCCGCCTGTTCCTTATTAAGGCAAAATCCAGGACCTGCTGCCGGAGTTCAATGACGAGATAACATGCCTGATTGATCTGCTTCTGGTGAATGCCCTCTACTTCAAAGGACAATGGGAAGTCCAGTTTGACAAGGAGCTCACCAAAGAAAGCTCCTTTTACTTGAACGAGGTAGTTCCAATGCATGTATTTCAGCTATGTGTTATCCTCCTGCTATCCAATTGCTATAAAGGCAATTGGCATAATGGGGCAGATTCTGAGGAAGGGAGCATTGACGTTTGAATACATAGCCTCCAACTGCCCCAAGGGTGCTGGGTTTCTTACTAGGTCACGCCAGAGTCCTGAATTTTGCAAGCAGGAAAGGGGACAGGAAAGGGCGGGACACGGGGAGGAAAAGGAAGAGGCCCTGCCCTTCGTGGTGGCACTGAGGGATCCATGGGGAGGGGAGGAGAGGGGCGCCAACAGGCACGCAGAGGCCCTTCGGAGGTAATAGCTGCCAACCATAGAGACTGCATTGCTGCCGCCTTGTAAATATCCATCGAGGGTGCCTCCTCCGACGTCCAAGGTGGGCTGATGGAAGCCTTGCAGTTTTATCATCTAAGGCATATTACCAAGACATTTGCCGGTACGGTATTGTTACATAGGGACGCAGGTGGCGCTGTGAGTTAAACCACAGAGCCTAGGCCTTGCTAATCAGAAGGTTGGCGGTTCGAATCCCTGCGACGGGCTGAACTCCCGTTGCTCGGTCCCTGCTCCTGCCAACCTAGCAGTTCGAAAGCACGTCAAAATGCAAGTAGATAAATAGATACCGCTCCGGCGGGAAGGTAAATGGCGTTTCCGTGCGCTGCTCTGGTTCGCCAGAAGCGGCTTAGTCAAGCTGTACAACGGCTCCCTCGGCCAATAAAGCAAGATGAGCGCCGTAACCCCAGAGTCGGTCACGACTGGACCTAATGGTCAGGGGTCCCTTTACCTTTACCTTTTATTGTTACATGCTCCTCTTGGTAGCAGCCATTGGGGCAGCTCAGCCAGCCCCTCCCTTTCCCCTATTCCATTGGCAGTGTGAGAATATAGGTGCAGGACAGGGGGATACACTGATGTAGAATAGAATGTTTCTATTTTTTATCCGAGGAAAGCCGGAGGGTATGGAATCAGCCTGGAGAAATAATAGGCACTAAACACACTGGTGACTTTACTGCTGCAGTCTATAGGTAGAGCATCTGCTTATGGTTCCAAGTTCAATTCCTGGCATCTCTAGGTAGGGCTGGGAGAAAACCATACCTGGTATCCTGGAGAGTCTATCAACATCTAGAGGGCATCAGCTTGGGGAAAGCTGACCTACTGTTACTAAGCTAGAGTATTTGTCATTAAAATAATTGCATATTCTTTCTTTGTTATTCCCCATTTCATCAATAGTTTCTATGTATATTTTTAGACTGTAAGCCCTTATTTCTAGGTTGTAGCAACTTGCCAAACCTGCTCCTTGCAAAGCACCATGTACAAAGATGTTACTATTTATTTATTTAGATTGTATGATTTACTGCAAGGCTCCAGGCCCCCAAACAAGGAATATCTCTTTTGACAACTGTAAAATTACTTTGCTTTAAATATGTTGAAAGCTGGCATACTCAGTTTAGTGCACGGTGTAATGGTTCTAGGGGTTGCTCGTGAGTAAGCCGGTGCTTATCTCCCCGGCTGGGTGTAAACACCTGGCTGGGTTGCCTAAGTGAACCTTTTCTGTCTGGACAGCCACTCACCCGTGGCTGACTCAGTCGCTGGCAGAATCCGTCAGTGGGCGTTTCTTAAACTTCTTCCAGCAAAGAAGCTCTTTGACGCCTAGTCTCCTCCTACTCTCTCTGCGCGAAAGCCTTCTGCGCAAGGAGGGTGTGGGCTGCGGAGGACCCCTACTCTCCCCGCTGGCCCCAGGCAAGGAGTCATGTGACCGCCTCACCACTTTCCCCATCTGCCCCCCTTCTCCACTGGTGCACGCTGATTCTCTTCCCCAGAAGATGGGCTGCTTCTCCCGATCCCTGGACGCTCTCTGGAATCCCTCTGGCTTTTGCTCTCTCCTTCCGGCACTGATGGCAGTTCCCTGACACACGGCAATAATTTTCTTCCCATGTTCCACATTTAGCAAGTCCCTCCCCACCCGAAGACCCTTAATATTTTTACTAGGATATGTCATTATCTCATTGAGCTTAAGATGCAGAGGAACATTTATAATAATAATAATATTAATAATATTTGCCCTGAGATTGTAGCACATTCCCCCTCTGGCTCTTCCCTCATTTCAAGTGGAGACAGTTCTGAGCAAGACCTCAGCTGACAAAATTAACATTGAAAGAAACCTTGTATGCAAGAAATAACTCATAATAAATATTTGCCTTTGTAAACATCAGTTTCCTTGCTAATTTAACACTGCTATGGCCTCTGGCTAACCAGGAAAGTCTCACTATATTATTAACTGAGGCTTGCCATTTCTTACAGAGAGACACCAAAACTGTGGAGCTGATGCATAGAAGAGGCCACTATAAAACGGGAACAATTGAAAGCTCTCAGGTCCAGTTCCAAGTGCTTGAGATCCCCTATAAAGATCATGAACTGAGTGTGTTCATACTGCTGCCCAAAGATTACAACCCCAGTTCTCTTCAACAGGTAACGCTTTGGTGTCTGCTAGCTCATTCATGAACTGTAATATCCTTTTGTAATCTCACTGACTTAACCTTTGCCCTGTAGCTGGAAGAGGAACTTACCTATGAGAAGTTATTAGAGTGGACCTCTGAAACCTGCCTGAAGGTGGAAGAGGTAGACGTGGCCATCCCCAAGACCAGACTTGAGAAGAGCATCCCAGCCCTCAAATTCTTGGAAGCTCTGGGCCTGAATAATGTGTCCAATCCGGAAAAAGCTGATTTGTCTGGAATTACGACAACCGAAATGGTCGCTGTGAGTGAGATTGTGCATGGAGTTGCCTTAGAGATGGATGAAGATGGTGGAAGGGAAGCACCACATTGCCCCAGAGATAGGCACCCAGCGAGCCGGGCAGATGTGCAGTTTGTGGCTGACCATCCTTTTCTTTTCTTTATACTGCACAAATTTACCAACAGCATCCTGTTCTTCGGTAGATTTTCTGAACCGGAAGAAAACACAGCTTGCCATTAACAAGCCACGGATAAGAGAAACAGAGTAAGGGCCACTCCATATGTCCTTTGGAATGAACTTTCACCCTGACTTGTGCTCAGGGTGGTATTGGGGCAGCTGCCCATGGTCCTGTTTTCAAACCTGTTTGTGTCTGCAGATGTTTAATAATGGGCATACTGGTCAATTGCCCATCAGTGTATGTCTTGTATTCCTGTAACTTTTCATGCCACAAATATTCTGGGTTCCCACCAGCTCCCTGCTTTTGTTGCTCTATATGCCCTTCTAGATGGCAGTAATGTGGCAGTAATGTTGGATCAAGCCATTGGCCCCTGAAGGAGCGTCTACACCAACCACATTTACATAGCAATTAAAACAAATAAGACAGGCTGAAAGGCCATGCTACAGCTTTTCAAAAGTAGTCCTCAAGCATAACAACCAATACCAGATTTATGTATAGGCTAAATAGGCTGAAGCCTAGGGCCTCTAAATCTAGGGGGCCTTGCCAGCCCACCCACTCCCCAGCAGGCAATACCCCCTCTCCCAAAATTGCAAACCCAAGACTTCATGCGAGGGCAGGGAAACTCGGGCCTCTAAATCTAGGGAGCCTCACCAGCCTGCCGGCTCCCCAGTGCTGCAGTCTCCCCTCTCCCAAAATTGCAAACCCCAGACTTCATGCAAAGGCAGGACAACTCAGGCCCAGCAACTATGAGACTATCAGGGTTATCCAGTGGGGCCAATTTGAAGCAGTGGGGTGCAACTTGATTATTATTTTTTTGGTAGGGCCCCAGTTCACAGCCAAAGTCTGCAAAATCTTATAGAAATAAATAAAATCCATCTAGATTGCCCTGGTGCGGAGGCCCCCTTAGGAGCGGCCCGTGGGTCCCAATTTGGCCAAATTGCTCCAATTGCCTTAAGGTCAGCCCTGATGAGACTGTGCAGGGGTTGGACTGACAAGCCCTGCACCTTCTAGGTCCCTGGTATCACCATTCAGAGTACAGACTCAAGGACTTGTTATGGAAATAAAGGGAGGGGGCACTTATTGGAAATCAGTTTTGTCACTTCTCCCCCCACCCCAACCCCAAGACAATGGCCCAGCCACCTTTTATTCACAGTCTCATAAGCACTACACTAGAGTATGGCCATAAACCTGTACGATCAACTGCTGAAATATACACCCAGTATGTAGCAATTGAGATTTATGTTACTGCTTTATAAATGAACACTGTGTTTTATGAATGTACTCTGTATTTTGTGAATTACCTAAGAGCCACCAACAGGGAGCTCTAGAATCTGACAGCTAACAAATTGGGTACTACCCAACAGCGACCCCTATTGCTGAAAGCAGGTAACCAGCAGGAAACGCTTCAGCTCAGCTTTTGCACTGTTGACTGAACACCCCCTGCTGTGCAGATAATAGAGAAAGCTCGTAAATTGTATCCCTTCTGGCATCCTGGCCAACCCTATTGCGCTGGTGTAAACCCTGGTGCACCAGAAGCTCAGAATAGCAGCAAAGAAAAAAATCTGCTCATACGTCAGCGACTGATAAGACTTGTCAACCAATTCTTCCAAAGTCTTCCTAAATTATAAAGCTCCAAAATACAGGCCAAAAGAGAAGAGGTCTGGGAAGAACGAGGCATACAATGGGCACCACCAGCGAAAAGGCCCTGCTCCGTGTAGCTCCTGTCATTTGATAGAGTGCCTACTTGCCCTCCTTCTTGACATGGAATGCTCTCTATTGGAGTATCCAGGTCCAGTACAAAGACCATAAGAAGGGAGAGCAGGGACCTTGAAGTTCCCAACAGCTGTTAATCAAGCATGCAAGGACACAGGTCACCTTTGTCACAGTCAGGACGCCTATGTCCTGGCCAGGCCTGTGCCCAATCTTGTTTGTTCTCAGTAACCAAAATTATATTATCAACATATAGAAGCAGAAAAGTTGTTTTCCTTCATTTGCAAGGAATCATACAAAACAAAATGGCACTAATAAAGAAAAGTTCCATGGGGGCAACAGAAAGCAAACTAAAAATGTTTTTGCAGTTCATCAGAACTATCCAGCAATATCAAGTTATAGGAAAACTGGTGCTATTAACAGTAATCCTTCTAGTTGGTTAATTGGTTCGGCAACTTCCATGCACATGACATGTGATGCTAATTATTTCCCCAAAGAGTTAACTGATAACTAATTAGAGGCAGCTACAGTTGCAAATGGCAACAAAATATCTGTGAAAGGAAGAGGAGCAGGTTTGCTCAAGTGTGTTGCAGATAGAAATACTGTTTGTAATGAAGTGAGAGCAGTAGTTTACTTGCTCAAATTAACATATAAGAAAGTTTTGAGAATTTAAATTCTAGATTAAAATTGATTACTTCATTGAGAATGGGATTGTAACAAAAACACTGGGGCCTAATTTGAATAGTAGAGTGCCTGGTATCTGGTGGGCAATCCTTTATTTCCACACTGTGGCTGCAGATCAAATCACCTGCCAGGAGAGTTATGAGATTCAGCTGAGGTTCAGATGCCTTGTCAATCCCAGCAGGTATATAAGATGACCACCCTGGCCAGGTCTTTGCCCTGGCCATTCAAATGATGTGTGTGCACAGTGTTCCATGATTGATTATGTGAGGTGGCACTTACCTGCCCCCCCATATTTTATTCAAGTTGGCCACCCCTACATCTTTGTTCCTTTATTTTCAGTGTGTGCCTCCCTTTCTAAATGTTCTTGCTAGGGTTTACCTTTTTGCAACCTCACCCACTCCTTTGGGAGGAAGGGCAGGATATATTTGTCATAAATATTAATAATAATAAAATAATAAAATGCTTGCTTCGGCCTCTAACCCTTTGACAATAAGGACATGGAACCAGGTCACATCAAAGATCCACTATAAATGCAGGCTCTGGAGCAACATGGATTTGGTAAGCCTCAAAGGGCAAGGAAAAAATAACAATAATTTTGGAGGGTGAGGCCAATGTAAACCCACAGAGACAGACAATATGTTTTGGTAAGTCACACATCACTACCATTTGTCTCTTCAAACCAGGGACAGGGAGCCTGCGGCTCTCCGAGTTGTTGGCCAATAACTTCCATCATCCCTCACCAATTACCATGTTGGTTGGGGCTGATGAGAATTCAACTCTGACCTGCATAAATTTCTCCACCGATCTCCCACCCCAAATCTCAAAGCCCTCCCATGTTTGTGCGTAGGTGCTTCCACTTTCTGTGTGTAATGAACACTGCCACACTGGTCATCATCATCAGAAGAAGGAAGAGAAAAAGTTCAGCATGTCTGCCAAGCTGTCTGGAAATATTCGCCAACTTCCGATGGCAAATCTATTTTCCTTTGCCTGACATAACATGGTGGCACCAAAGAGACACAAAAACTGAAGTGTAATAATCACTTGAGGATGCATTGCTGAAGAACTGGTTGTCCCCACCTTGCTCTGAAATAAATACTGGCCTTTGGCGCGTGTAAGGCAGCCAACAAGGAGAGCAGGTCATTCTCAGAGAACAAGAGTGAAACACTTGGTTAACTTACAGTTAGGGGTTTTTTTTATTAAGGAAAGCAGGACAAAGAACACACAGAGACCTGTAATGGTTGCTCCTATCTTAGTGAAGCAATTGCCTGGATTGGCTTGTAGCTCCCCCTTCACTGCCTAGCTTTCTGTGTCAGGCCCTCTTCGCTCTGTCTACGGTGAGCTCCAAGGGACCCTCTCTGTGTCTGCCTGGCTCTCTGCTCAGCAACATACAATAAATGCCTCATTCTGGGAGTGAGGAGGGGGCTTGCAGGCTGTCAGCAGAGAAGCAGAGGCAGAGCTAGCTGCTCTGGCACCTGGAGGGTGCTGTGCATGGCAAGTATCCCATGGGGGTAGCTTGGTGAACACAGGGGCAGTGGTGCCCGTGGCGATCGTCCCAGGGGGGCAGTGCAGTGATGTCACCCCCCTCAGGGATGACACCCAGGGCAGGCCGCACCCACCACACCCTGTTCCTCCGCCAGTGCAAAGAAGATGTCAAAGTGGCTCTGTGGGAGGACTGCCAAGTCTAACTCCTGTCCCTGCCCTGTGCTGGGGCACCTGCCTGTTTCCTCCTCTTCACCATCCTTCAAGCTCCCAGTCTCCAGTATTTCCCACCTCTTCCCCTCTTCTGGGATGTGGCTGGTTTCCCACCACCAGGATCCAAGCCCTCTACCGCTGCACTTTCACTGGGGGGCTCTTGGTCAACAGACTTCCCACACTCCTCCTCATCTAGCCAGCCCCTGACAGCATGGATGTCAGCCAGCATATGTTCCGTGATTTTGGGCTGAGCTTGTTAGAATATTTATATCCTGCTTTTTCTCCAAAGAGCTCAGGGCAATGTACAAGGTACCTCCAGCTTCACAAGTTTAAAAGTGCTTTCCCCAAAAAGCCAAGTTCTTTCTGTTGGGGATAATTCAGACTGAAATTACGAGGTGTCATTTTTTATGTATGCTACTACTGCAGCTCATGTTTTGCTAGCTCAAAAATGGAAAACGAGCGAGGTCCCAACCAAAGAAGAATGGCAACTTAAGTTGACAGAATATGCACAACTCGCAGACTTAACATACAGTGGTATCTCTGGTTGTGAACGGGATCCGTTCCAGAGGCCCGTTCGCAACATGAAAAGAGCGCAACCTGCAGCGGCGCGTCTGTGTATGTGTGGGTTGCGATTTGCCGCTTCTTCACATGCGCGTGATATCATTTTGCACTTCTGCGCATACGCGAGCCTTTCTGGTACTTCCGGGTCGCTGCGGGATGTAACCTGAAAGAACATAACCTGAAGCGGACGTAACATGAGGTATGACTGTATAGAAAAGAGAACAAGAAGAACATACATTCAGAGAAGACTGGAAAACATTTATTGAATATATGGGAAATAATTGTTCTGAAAACACTGGCAGCATTAAGGTAAATTCAACAGTGTAAACAAGTTTTGATGGAAGCAACAACTGAATACTGAATGGTATAGTTTTTTGTAAAATATGCAGGGATTTATGATATGTGAAATGAACCA